ATACCGGAAGTTTTTACGACGGTCATTGCTCTACGCACGTCCTAAGAAGCAATCTCCCTTTCGAGATATGTTAAAGATGTCCGTATTGTAAATCAATTCGATAGTACGTGATAAATGATAATATATTTACTCATCTCTTCAACTTCAATGTCGTGTGTTCAAACACTGAAACTTGTTAACTTGTAATCAGAAATTTATTTCATGTACAAAAATGGAAAGTGCCAACATGAATCTCATGAATAATGAAAAGGCATATTTTGAATTTGCTTACTCCATACTTAATGCTAATGTCTGTTGATTGTTTTGTCAAATTCATTATCGCGTTACTTTATCGCCACTTCATATTGCATTAACTAACTGCATGCAAACGTTTATAATTTATCCATGACAGGCGTTATCTTGTATTTAATGAGTTACACAATTCTTGCGATTGAAACAATATTCAGCCATTAGAGGAATCGTTTTTTAGGGCAAACAATCGACGAGCTGTTGCGTACGGTGTAAAAGATTCGCGCTTGATAGGACGTATAATGTACAGTCGATAAATCATCGGTGAACCGCTGAGCCAACGTTTGGTATTTTGGTTCCGACGCCGTGGGGGTTTCGCACCCCTGCGGGGGTTCCCTGCTGTTGCCACGCTTCCTTACCGAGGCGGGCGATCCGATCGAGCCACGAGGTGTTCGCAACGCGAGATACAAAGACGCGGTTTGCACCATGCACGGTAATAGCCGGTGATTGAAAGAGAGAAAGAGGAGCGAGGAGAAAGAAAATTCATAGGAAACTCGGTGCGTACAGAGGATCTATCGTTTGTAATGACGGTAAGCGGCGGTCGGACCGATTCGAGCGTGCAATTTCGTGAACGGCCAACCAGAGGAGAACGAAAACGTTGCATTGTGTTTAAAGGAGGAAAGTAGTCGAGTTAATAGAATCGAGTCGTTAATAATCGTCTTCCACTTTGCTCGAGTGGCGCGCGTTAAGGCCTCGAGGTGTTGACCAGATCGCGTATTGTTCATCCTTTCCCATGATAAGTCCCGTGCCGTGCTGTCCCGGCGGTGAATGACGCTCTACCGCGATGATACGTCACGATAATGGCCAGTAATTCGACGTGTACCATCTCTCAGGGCTCGTGCTATCCTCGCTCGCGCTCCGCGACCGAAGGGGATATTGTTTGCAACGACGATGCAACACGCCGGATAACTTCTTGCCTTTTCAATTATCGGACCTTCCAGCGATACGATGATGGCCGGTAGAGAAGTAGAAGGCGTACTACGGCCACGTACACGAGAGCGTTTGCACGCGGTCGCGCCGGAGTAAACCCACACGCACCGTACCACGCGGTCTGTTCTCCGCGCACCAAATTGCAGCTCCGATACGGCCGCATCGTCACGCTACATACAACAGAAATCGGAAAACGAGAATCCATATTCGCGTTTTCGCGTATTTAGCAGCGTTACGCTCGTCCCCCGCGGTTCAAGGGAAATTTTTCTGGATACTTAATCGGTGATCATTCTCGGAAGGAACGATGGGGAAAGATGCGAATACGACGCGGAATTCCACGTTTCCTTTCGAATGAATAATTCCATCGACGCTGGCACAACGGGGCGATACATAATGACCGATAATTCGAGCTGACTCTCGCGCGAGCAATAGGAACACCGTGTGTATGCGCGAACCCGGCGAGCTAAGGGGGCGGCTAGGGTTTTCAATTATCGAGCCTTACCCACGATAACGATGCCGGCGAAACTTGCGTACGTACGTGCACTTCGCCGTACACCCTTCGTGTAACCCCGGGACTACGAAATTGCAACTCTGATCGTTTAATGAAAACCGAGCGAGCACCGTAATGAATATCTTAAGCTTTCCTCCGGGAATTGCTCGCCGATGGTTTCGCAACCTTTCCCGAACAAAATAATCACGATCTGATTCTCGCTTCGCAAGACCTCGACCAGTATTGTTAAATCTGAGAGTTCGCGAACTGACAGCCGTTAAAAGAAAATTATGATAGAACGAGCACGATTGATAGAGTGAATTCTAGACGACAAAGGATTGTCGCGTGAAGTAGCGTTCAAGGGCCGTGAAATTGATCGATTATACATGCGAAAACGGTTTTTCAAGGCGCGACGAACGACAACAACGCGGGGATAGTCAGTCACAGCGGCCATGTTGTCACCGTGAACATCTGCCGTTTTTCGGGCCCCGCGCGTATCCAACGGGTCTTCGAAAGGGTGTTTACACACGTCGGGACTTACACGCGTCGTACTTGACGAAAATAATTCATTAAAGCGGCTGCGCGCCGCCGACTGTGGTGGGCGTGACGACAATCGGAAGGGATTTTATCATCGGACACCGAAGAGTGAACGATTTTTCGACACGGGCCAAGGGGTGGAGACGTCAGCCGTGCCCTTCGCTTCTTCACCGATTGCAACCGAGCGTGATCGCTGGACAGACGACACCCCGCGTATGACGCAACGATTTCCGGCGTTCGAATTCGTTCTCACAATTAAACTGGACAAATTGGGGTGGCATCCTCGTAGCATCCGGTGCTCCAGGTAAATCCTCTCGGGTCGCATAAAAAGGCCGAGGAGCACCCGTGCTTTCATCCCCTGGAGCGCGGCGAAAAGACCGTATTTCTGCGACAAGCGGTCCACGCTGCGCCCGTTCACAGTCCATTGTCATTCTCGAAAATGTCAACGGGGCGTTGCTTAAAAGGACACTTTCGCCCTACAAATCGGATTATCGTATTACCAGCGTGTAGAAGTGAAGTGGAGCGAGATTTCAAGTAGATACTCGAGTTTTCAGAGCGACAGGCATTTTTGCCTGATCCTTACAACAAAGCATTGCTAATTTTGTATTTCTTTCCTCTTTTCCGGAAAAAGTAAAGCCTTGAGCGAGTCAAAGTGTCATGGAAATCGAATCGTAAAAAGGCTGGCGACTCACTGTAATAGACGGAAATAATGTATCATCCATATAAACAGCGACCGAACGTGGTGAATTTCATCCATGAATTAGTAAGCAGAATTCGGATGATGGTACGTGCCATCGCGATCAATGTAACGTGCGCAGCGACAAGATTCATCGATCCGAGAACGACTTAGTCACCAGTTGGGATTACTTATAGCCGAACGAATGCCTGTCGATATAGCATAAGCTTCTATCGTCGACTGGTTAATTAATCAACAGGAAATTCGCTTCAACTCGACGGTAAGATACTTCGAAACGAATCGAAAGTTTAAAACTACGCGTAGTTTAGCAAGATTGGCAGCGGATTGGCTATGGTTAAGAAGGTTTCGACGGAATCGTTGACATCGTCGAAACGGAAGTAAGGTAAAAGATTCGCGAACCAGGCCGATGACAGTGTGACGAGAAAGAAAATTCTTGACGATCCCTCGTGACGAGCGGATCGAATGACGAGAGGAAGTAGATATCGTGTTACCATCCCACGCATCCTGTCAAGTGGATCTTCCCGGTGCACAAAGAGGAGCAGACAAATAATTGGCTCCTCGGGTGCACAGGTAAAGGCCATTCCCTTTGATCCCTGAGAACCTTGCGCAAGGACTATTATGTCGAGGATACTCGATACATTCGGATCGGGTGCTCCAGTGACGTGATAGACAGAAAAGAGACCAACAATGGTAAACTGCTCGTAACATTCACTCTTGTTGCAGCCAGAGCGAATCAATGTCACTACTCGATGGAACTAGTATTTATCATTTTAAATGTCGTGACAATCTACTATAATACGTCAGGTAACTTGAAATACATTTTAGAAACTTTATTTTACCACTAATCGCTATGTATGCTGGTTTTAGTTACAAATAATTGTACGAGAATTCATTTAGTCAGAAGCAACAGACTCGAGAATACACGGAGTACTACAGGATCCTTCTGAAACGGAAGAACTCTCGTGGCTTTCCACGGAGATTAATTTTCGGCATGACACACGGACAGGAAACTTTTCTGCTGACTTAATTAATACTCGTACGCGTCTCTTTTTCGATGCCAAGGATTTAATTACTTTTTTACGTCGACTCGTAAATCATCTCGCCGAGGCCACGGCACCGGCAGCGTCCTTCTTGCCGAGTCATAAAATAAAAGGTTCGAAGCCCGGGAGGAAAGAAGCGAGACGTCAAGGGAGCGAGAAGACCGAACGGAACACGTGTCGGATAGAAAGCACAAAAGACTGGCCGGATTTTCACGGAGCAAAGCGGTTCTCGTGGCTACGGAGACCGCCGTCTTCTGTCAAAACAGAATAGATCATCCCGGATGATCCGTCGAATTACTAGACGGTGCGAGCTGATAATGCTCAGGTAGCCAACAAGATCTTTGAGTAACTGACATTGTCAATGACGCGGCGGTCTCTGTCGTTGCGACAATACGGGAAATGGTCAAGACATCTGCGCAACAGGGATGTTGCGCTTTTACATCTGATTCTTTCATTATTACAAAAATACGTACGGTTATATTTGTGTCTGCTACTCTATTCGATTTTATTCATCGCACTTTATCTATTCAAAATTAAATGCTGAGAAAGATAATTCTATGGGTCAGTATAGGCTATCAAAATTAAATGGAGTGACTATGGCGGTATTCGACATGGGCTTAATTTTTATTATCCCGACGAGGCTTTTGATTTTATCGTTTAGCCTGGCGAAGGTTCTCTGACAAAAGTGACAAGATCGAACAGTAGCACCTGATCTACGAGATCAACGATTCTGGTCTACCTGGACGGATTAAGATCCCTATCTAAAGGAGGCTGAGTAATTGACCTTGCCTCAGGGAGATCAGAGGTTGACAGCTACCCTTGCCTCTGGACTTCACGGGTTACCATCGTGGAACAAATCCGGCCATTAGTTAACTCCTGATCTCAATTCTTTGCCGGTACCAAGAAAACTACATGCTCTTATCGACTGTTCCACATTTTCATATTATGGTACGCTCTCGCGACTCGATAACAATTTTCCAAGCAATCAGGTAAGTAATTTCAGAGATTGAAGACTCACCACATGTCCGTGTACTGGAGATTTGGCGATCGATTGTAACTGCGGATAAAGTTGTCCAGCCGCAGCCGGCGTCATGTCGGTCAACATCTCGTTGACGCGCGTTTCAACGATCAGGCGACACGATTCCTCGCGAGATCCTGTCCGTCGGCGTTCTTCAACGAACTCGACGAATAACGTTCGCGTATCGCGACGTCCTCCGCGCAGAGTTAAAGTCCGCAACAAATCACACTTTTCACTTGCGTTCACCAGAGGACTCGGAACTCGGCTACGTCGAATCAATTGAAAGAGATACTCGAGAAATTAAGGTACAAGGCCGCAGCCGTGGTCCACGGCCGTCGGCTGGTTAAAAAAGCGAGTGGGTCGAAAAAGGCTGCTGCGTCGGGGAAACCGGTTAACGTGGTTCCTGTTCTTCGCACCGTGACAGACTGCCGGCAATCCGATCGGCTGTGCCCCGACCAGACCACAAGGGAATAGTAGTAGGGATTCCAGCCCAGGACTTTGGTCCCTGGGCAAAAAAGGGGCAGAACCCTCTGGGCGGAACCCAGCGGGTACCAGTTGCCGCCCCTGACCGCCCTCGTGCCGTACCTGCTTCCTCTTTACTTTATTTATCCCCACCGACCTTCCTCCCACTCTCTCTATGTCTCTCTCTATCCGTTTCTCCTCTCCCATTGCTCCCACTCCGCTTATCTCTCTCCGTCCTCCTTTCCTCGCCTCATCGGTGGTTCTCCCTCGCACCAACGATCCGCAACCCTCCCCCCGGATAATTTAACCGTGAAATGCGCGCGCACACGGCGCGGCCACGAAGAGAAGGCACGCGTACAACGACTTTGCTCGTGCCTGCCCTCTTGGACGTTTCACCTCCATCTACTTTCTACGTTTTGTCCTTCCTCCCTCGGATCCTTTCTCGCTCGTTTCTCCTACTTCCTGCTTCGGGCAGACCGGCTTACGTGACCCGAAGTTGTCGCATTAACTTCAGCCTCGTTGTTTGACGTAACGGTATGCACATAGTCGGTATTTAAATACCTACATGCCGCTGCCCGATACCAGCGCGGCGAAACGAGGGAAGTTCATCGACCCGGGGGCCGCGTAATTGATATACAAATCGAATCCACGCGTTCCTTCAGTTCCCGACGTCGTACCCGATACTATACGCTCCTATCCGTGCTCGTTAATTCCGGCATGCGATTTCGAAACAGAAAACTGTGCCTCGGATAACTCGTCAAACTTTGTCTCTAATCCGCGTATATCGATGAGCCGCCGCATGCGCGATGGATAAAGGAAAATCGGACAGATGTCTGACCAAACCCGACTCGTTCTACTTACGCGCTAATCTATTATCCGCTGAGCCTCAATTTCGGGCGTCAAGTATATCTATATACTTGCATCAGTTTGTATATTCAAGGGAATATTTCGATTACATAAAAAGATCAAATAAAGTTTGCTAGTTAATCGTGTGAAGAGGTTTTCTTCAAATCGTTAAATACATCAGATTTCCAACCTTACGATGTTCAAGCGACGCGCGTTCCAACGCAGCGCAAGAAAACGTCTTATAAGTCCACTCTAATGTGATTTTAATCGAGGAGTTTGAATTTCAAATGCTATCGACTCGTCCGTACCGAGCCGGCTGTACACCCGGTTAAATTTCAGCGAACAAGGAACCTGAGTCGGTTGTTCGCTATTACCATTGGCGTACCACGTTTTATGGTAACCGGACGCTTCATTACGCATAAAGGTAGAATTTCCCCGCAGCGTCAGACCGTTGCGTCTTACTATTTTTATTCTATTTATTAAAATTTGATTCATGTCTGCGCCGAACGCGTGAGAACTTATGATTGTAAATCGCAAAGCACGGCGACCTGCATGTTGCGCGGAAATCCTAGCTTAAAGCGGATTGACAGGACTGCGAAACTAGCTAATATTTTAGAGAACAGTTTAGTCTACGCCATTGGTTGAACGGACGCGTTCGAGTCGCATTAGGTCCTAATTTCCCATAATGGAAGAGGATCTACAGGCGCCACTGCGGCGAGGCGACCGCCTAATCGCGACCCATTCATAACCGCTCTTCGTCGCTGGAGCAAAGAGGCTATCTTCTAGTCGTGTCCGAGATTTCCGCGGCCAATTTACGCGTAATATCTCATCAACCGCATCAACTTCTTAATGCCGGGTGATTTTTGTCCGAGACGTTTTATGCATAAGACTCGCGGTTCTAAATCAGCTCTTAAAGTGCTTAATATTTATGTTCACTCGATGCCGGGATTGATCAATATTTCTAAAAATATAGCATTGGAATACCTTGCATTGATCTATCGATGCTTTTAAATCTTTTCAAACCTATCTATACAAATTTTAATGATTGCCTTGTATATTTAAGAGAGAACTGCAATAATTTGCTTAATCGCCACTGGCGGAACATCTTTTGCGTGGAATTAAAGAGAAAATCAATACAAGTCTTAATCGAGGAACAAATATTTCGCAGAACGCGAGGCATTATCGAATGGCATCCCTCGTACGACTCGAAAATACGATGATGCCTGCATCGCGTGCGATCGGGTAACAAAAGGTGCGATTCAGCCCGCCTCCAATGGGATACCGGGTCATAGGATAACGGCAACAGTTATGGGGCTCGAGAAAAGGGATGTTTTGACAATGAACCGGGAGTCGAATCGGGCGTTCCATTCTCTCAAAAAGCAAACGGCATTGGATCGTGCAAATGAGGGTGCGAGAATCTCGAATCAAGGGGGTGTCGGTCGTTTCTCGTTTTTTGTTCGCCCTGATCGATGTTGCCTCCCTACCCCTCGAGCCATTTGCGTTTTTAGATTTTTTCAGATAGAAAGGAAGCTCGTTATTTATTAGCAATCATGCACGGACCTGAAGAGGGGAAGCGAGAGTGTGAGAGAGACGGAGAGGACTGAACTGGGGAGAAAAGTTGATCAACAAACGACTATTGATTTTCTCGGTAACGATCGAACGATATCGAGGCTACGAAATGACGGATCGCTGATTGGCAGCGAGACGAGGTGAACGGGGTTGAAAGGGAAATGGGGCCCGCGGGCCTCGTGGGGGCGGATAATGACAGGGCGGCCTCGCGAGACCTAAGATGGTCCGCGTTGAGATCAGCTCCGGCTTTTGCCTCTTACACGACCATGTGGCCATCGGGAGATGCTGATGGACTAATAATTACCAAGGAACCAGCTTCGCATATAGCGGCTGGGACCGTCGAAAATGGAGATTCACCAGGCCAGGCTGGGACCAAAGAGGTCCCGTATCGTTGTGCAAGCTTAGTTAGTTGACCGAGCGAGTACTTCGCGTTTAATCCTTAACGACAACAATCAGTACATCTATTTTCATTCTATCCAGTTTCAGTGCCTGATTTTTCTCGAAAGTCATACATTTTTACAAAAACCACTATTTTTCGGAAACGGTACGTGATAAAGCAATTCTGCTTCCTAATTTGTGTTTTATTTAAGAGACTATAAAAGAAATTTGGAGGAAAAACAATTTTCCGAGATTTTAAGGGATACCACTTCAGATTTTTCGAAATTTTGGTTTTTCCCCAATTACTCCTACACCATTGGACCGACGGAAAAATGGCATACAACCTTTTTTATAGCTGACAATGAGAGCTACAATTTTTGTCTGAAACATTCTTTTCTATCGCCTATAGTTAACGCTTATTTTGTAAAAAACTGATTTTTCGTCCTTCGTCAATTACTCGTTAACTGTAAAAGCTAGCGAAAAATATTTCAGACAAAAGTTGTAACTCCAATCGTCGGCTACAAAAAAGGTCGTCTGCTATTTTTTTGTAGATCCAACGATTTAGAAATAATCGAGGAAAAACGAAACTTTTAGCTAAAACTTTACTGTTCTGACGGGGAAGGAACGGATTCTGTCAATACCCATAAAATGCCAATTAATCGTATTTAACTCATTAAATACCGAATTTAGAAGAAAAATACATATTGCCTTTCTTGTACATAGCAAAACCCGACAATAATTGCAGCCTGTTTTCAAATGTATCCCTGGAAAATATTCAACGGGCTTCTGTTTGTAACGACAGTACTAGCGCGTGGCGGACGCGGTTAAAAAGCGGTATTTTAATAGCAGCGCGCGATGTCAACCAATTCCAATGGTCGTTCCATAAATCAAACACTCGCGTGAAGTACGTAATAGAAGAGGCCTGATAACGTGCAAACATTCCTTGAACGATATAGTCTTGCGATGTTTCGCACGCTGCACGCGATTGTTAAGGATGTATTGGCTATACAGTCAATCCCAAAAGTTTATGCACTTTAGAAACG